AATTGCTGACTAGAGGAAAGGCAACTAGCTGGCAGGACCTACTTCTAACATTTATTTTTATTATTGAACTACTGACTAGAGAGAAGGCAAATGATTGGCAGCACCCACTACCAATTGTTTTCTTGTACTGAGGGTTGAGGTACACTGTATTGGTTCCTTAATAAACTGTAGTCAATTAATTAATTTGCAACTACCACTAATCATCCAGCTCTAATATATATATATATATGTTAGCAAGGCACTTACGAAAAAGAAAAAGGTACAAAAAAGCAAATGAGACAAAATGCAGAGGTAACCATACATGTACAATTCTTGTAAATTATACTCACCCAGATTGGGTACAAGGCTTCACTCCTCATCACCTAATCCCCACCAGAAGGTTCTTGTAGTTTTACATATGGCTGCTATGGTGAGCTGCAACATCAAACTTTTGTCAAGATACTCTTAATGTCAGCCAGCAAGATCTGCATGTGGCACACCTCTTCCTGAAGTCATGATAGAGGTGTGGTTTTCTGCCATAGCAATTTCTCTTCTATGTTGTAGAGAGCCCAAGCTAGCCGTCTCCTTTCATTGTTGCTTGTACATGGGGATTTTCTCTAGCATAGTATGGTTTAGCAAGACTTTAAGTTGTTTAGGTGGGATCTCCACCCTTGTCTCTCTCTCTGGGCTTGGTTATGGAACCTCTGGGCTAATGGTGCCTCAGTGGCAGCCAAGGGAGAGCCTCCTTGCCTCATCTGGACGATGGTCAGTCCTTATGTTGGTGCACTTTAGTTGATGGCATAAACCCTTGGTTACAGTGAAGGAGACAGCCCATAGCTCGTCTGCATTGCCATGGCAGTGGTGATGGCAATGACAGTGTCAGATGCCATTATTCAGAGACTCATCTTGACCTAACCTTCTGAGAGCCTGGTTGATTCTGGAGAGGATCCAAGCTCCAGAAAGAATTTCTTGGGTTTCAGGATTTAGTATGCCCACTCAGAGATGTGGGCACATCTGTCAGCATTGGTATGCCAAGGCATCACACCCTCCAAGGGGGCATTTCACATGAGGATCCCATTTTCTCTAAAGCAGTGGTTCAGCCCTAGGTAGCATGGTCAGCTACTTGGAGCATATAATAAAGGGTCACTGGCTTCCATGCAAATTACTTTGCTAACTTTCACGAGTTACTTTCTAAAACTATATCTTGGTAGCTGTGATCCCATAATATGCTTCCATCTAAGAGCCATCAATGCCAGCTAGTTTTTCTTTTCCACTTCAGGAAATAATCACTGGCAGAATTCATTGAAACTAAGATTTTTTGCCTAAAATTCTTATCTATCATGATTAATACTTATGTTGTTACTACTGTATATAAAGATACACTCCGAGTAAGTACAATTCTTTCACCTCATGTAGAATTGGCATGCATTCTCCAGGTGTGAGGGAAAGAATCTAGTGTTGACCAGGTAGCATGCTTCATAGAGTTCTTGCCACTTACCTAGATCAGTTTAGTGATTTTTTTCAAAATTTCAGGCAGCATTTTGCATCAGAAAATTTACTCTGTGGCTCAGAAAGCAAAGATTACAATACCTCAGTAATTGATTTTTCAACCATACAAATTCAATGAAGCAGATACTGTTGGTATCTGGCAGATATCTTCTTTTGTGAAACTCTGCTTGATAGCTCAGAAAGCAAGGGTTGCTAAAGCCTGTAAGTCAACAAACCATCTTAACAATGTGATAATCAAGTGGAAATTAGTGTAGAGCATTCATTTTACAATGAACATCACTTGACAGCTTGAAGAGCAAGGATTGTTACTACCTTTAAGTCAGATCCCACAATCAGTGACTGGCCTAGCTTGTTGATGAATTGGCTAGTCCCACCCATATCAGTCAGAAGGCCATCAGTGTTGGCTTGGATGACTGTCGAAGCTGTCTTTTACCTCTTAGTCCAGTGCATCTTTGTTTGTCTCATCCCAAACAGCTGAATAAGCTTTTGCTCTTTCTGCCTTGTAAGTTGAGTTGAAATGACTTGAAATGACATTCTTGTTCTCCTCTTAACTCATAGATCTCCACCTGAAACTCTTGATGAAGTCAGTGCATGAAAGATTCCACTTCTACCTACAATATACCCTAGAAATTCAACCTGTGTGCACATAAACACAGATTATTTCTGGTATATGCTTCAAACCTGCTTTCTTTATCTGATGGAGTACCATTCTCAGATTATCAACTGTAGAATCAATTGTTTGATGACCAAACACCAAAACATTGTTGACATAGCCTAATCATCTCTCCTATTGCAACTCCTTCAGTTTAAGTTCCATTAGCCTCCCAAATGGGGCAGGTGAATTACTCAGACCGAATTTCACAAGATTCTCATACAAGCCATTTTTTGTGCTAAAAACAGTTTAAGGTCTGCTCTCATCATTCAGCATGAATTGACAGCATCTGGATACTTGATCTTAAATATTGCACCAACAGGAACCTTCTAACAAATCCAGACATTCATCTGTTTGGGATAAAATGGAAGTTATCAAAGCAAATTATTCTGTTCTCCTTTCAAAAATTAACACAGAATTGTAGCATGCCTTCCTTTTTCCTGCCAGTCATATAGAGACAACCAAATACTCTCAGAAGGTTGTATGATTGTAGCCTTCAACATCCACTGTATCTCAGTTCTGGATACATTTGTAGTGCTCCAGAGAACCCAGAATGGCTGTGGCTTGATTTGACATACATTGCATGTATCTATGCTGTGGTGAATCACTAACCCATTAACCATCTGGTCCCAAAAATACATTGACATACTCAACCAACATGTCACTGGGTTAATTTTGCTGTTCAAATTGTTTGCACAGTCCTCAACCAACAATTTCAGATGTGTTTATATCCTTGTTCTTTCTTTTCAATGTGGTGCTGTGAATGCAACCTTAACCTTGGTTACTTCCACTTCTCATACCACACCAATAACTTCGAGCTTTAAACTGGATATCTCAACACCAGGATTTCATTCTTTCTAAGATAAATAATTGCCCGAGCTAATGCTGCTAGTTTTCTGGGCAGGAAACAGTTCATTTCATACATGAGTTCTATAACCACATTGTGTGTCATGGATGAACTAGACTTTATCCATAGTAAATAATGGAACACCACTTGTACATGTAGAGCTACTGTTTTTTTGTTTTTTGCCCACTACAAACACTACTGCAGTCCACTGTTGCTGTGCTTCATCTGCTCAACATCAGATAACTCTCCCACAGAACATCAGTTCACCAGTGGCACAAGCAATTTCTGCAGTACATCGATTTCAAGGATGTCAGAGCAAGAACTGAAGTCAGAAATGACTACCTTCTTTCTGTGAGCAATATCTCCTAGACATAGCCAGAGATCTGTCTCTTCACTAATGTCTAGGCTATCATCACTTGCCAGAACAAACTGTATTCCTGGTCATAGTGGTGATCTCATCTGGAGGGATAGATATATTGGCATACCAGTATTCTGGCTGCACCTAATTCAACCAGGAGCTCAATCTCTCGCCCTTGTATCTTCCTAGATACTAAGTTCCATCTAGGCTTGAGAGAGCTGAGCTGATAATCAAACTTTTCAGTGTAAACTATCAGCTGTGCTCACTCAAGTCAGTGATGAGACATTAATTGAACACTGTTAATTTTAAAGAGCTGTAGCAGCAACATTTACTGCTTACTGTTGGATCTCTTGGGCCTGTTGAACTGTCATTCAAAACCAATAGCCTTGCCTACCATACTGCTTGGAAAAGTGTGGATGCTGCTGGCTCTCCAGCACCTGCTGAACCATCTGTTGGAATTAATATTCTTGCTGATTTTGCTACTCTCCAAAATACAGGCAATTCACTCACCAGTAACCTCACATATCACATGAGGAGTAAATGCTTCACTCATCTCATCCTCTATAACATCATTAGCATAGGCTGTAGCATATAAACTATGGGCAGATCTATATAGCCCTGCCCATCAACTGGAAACCAGTGTGGTTACATCACAGTGCTGGAATGTTTGAATGGTTGATTAACCCTCTGCATGCCAGGCACCTGAGTAGGATGGTACATATGAAGTGTAGCCACAGCAACTGCTACTGTAGGTTTTTTCCTCTCATACAACCTACTTGAAATTACCACTTTATACCTGGTCACTGTGGAAACTGTTAAGGTGAGTATATCCTGCTCACAAAGCTGGTGATACATATTCTTGCCAAGAAATCCTTCAGTGAACTTGTCCACCAAGATATCTTCACTGTCTGCTGAAACAATCACAAAGTAAAATTTTCCACGCAAGCTGTGCAGATCATCTGGATAAGTGACCAGACTCGTGATGGGTTTCTCTTCCACAGTGTCAAAATATCAGAATAGTCTTCTAGTTGTTTTTCATCCAAATGCTAGATGGAGTCAGAGCTAGACTGTCTAAGCTCAGGATCAGATGTTGGACTGCTTCTTCTTAGACCAGCTATTCCAACCTGCTTGAAATTCTTCAGAAAATTTCTTTCTTTGATACACCTTTGGCAAAATATGCTTGGATTTACTCACAGGGACCTGTGGATACTCATTCATCAGCTCTGCTTATTACCAGGTTTCTTCATGATACATGGTTGATCTAGCAGGATACATCCAAGCCTTTCTACTGACCCATGATTTGCAGCATTTGTCTGTTGGTACTCACTGTCTCACTTGCACAAGAAACTACTTTGTCTGGCAGACTTATTCCACCAGCAGTACATCCAGTCTTTGGCTGGTCTTAACCAGATATGGAGTTGGGTTACTCTGACTGGCAACAACCTGGAAGTTCTGTAGATACCACTCCATTCAGTTTAGGACTTACAAGAAGCCATTTCACCTCAGCAACCCTCAGTTGTCCATATTTCCCTTACATTGTAATCAATCCTCAGTTTAGATGTATCTTCACCTTAATAAGTTTAGCATAAGCAAAGATTTCACTTGTGTAAATATATATTTAGACATTCTATAAACAGACTATTCTTTACACCCAGTTTGAGAATGAGATGATTACAAAGTTGGACATGCTTGTTGGAGGTGGAAGAGGAGATGAACAGTACAAACAACTTTTCTTTGAACTGTAAGTAATGAATTCTTTGTCTATGTTTTGACTGTTATTACCACAGTTTAATTAATAATATTGTTCTCTGCAAACTGATGAAGAGCATTTTAAAAACAACTTTTATGTGAAAAAATACATGGGCATTTAAAAGAATTAAAGATTCATACTCCAAAACCATAAAATGTGTATATATTCTAGTAAGAAATACAAAGTGCCATTAGATTATTGTGAATACTAAAATATACATATATATATACTTTATAAAACAACTATATACTTTCACAATGCAAATTTCTTAGTATAAGAAATATCTTGAAAATAAATGTTTCTTGAGACAAATTTCCAGGATTATACATGATTATGCTTATCATGAAGTTGATACATTGTTGTATTTGTGTCATTAACCTTTAATAACATTTCTTTGTATTGAAAAAACATGACATATATTAAACATGCAAATGTAGAACAATAACAGTTTGTATTAGATGTGCTTAACACGTATCATACATGTCTTTCAGTATTGGTGGACTCTGTGAGAACCATTCAACAATGAATGAACAAGGTATCAAGTTTGTGAAGACAGTGGTAAGACTGATGAAGAGGTTATTGGAGTACAGAGACATCATAACTGATGAAAACAAGGAAAACAGAATGATTTGTATTCTCAATCTTTTGGTAAACAAATATTTCTCAAGATTTTATAGTTGTTTAAAAATCAAATCAGACTGTACTCTTTCCATTGTTCAACTAATATCATGGTACTCTGTAAGAACATTTCATGTAAATGACCTTATATTTGTTTTACAGTGAAGTCCTCAAAACCAGACAAACAACTCACTAACAAGTGAATAAGAGAAAAAACTCATTCTCTAATGTTTTTCAGGATAAAAGGAAGTAGTATTAGTTGTTGTTTTTATATTATGCTAATATTATATCAAAAAACACTATTTGTTGCCTTCTACCCAACTTTCATATTAACATGAAGCTATAGATTTAAATATATGGAAAAAGACAAAGAAAAAAAAGATAATAAAATGGATGTTCTGAAACCATTTGAGTGCGTATTATACGAGGGATGTTGCATTAAAAAAAAATCCAATAACACAAGTGCTTTCATGAAGCGGGCTTATATTCATCATGAAGAAATGAATGATGGCTTTAGTGTTTTCAGACTAATGTCTCTCCCAGCTTTTCCTATTCTTACTTCCAGAATAAAATTATGAATTTTTTTTTGGTTGTCAAGTGCATTTTGAAACCATAGTTATACTAGAGAAATTGTCATATGTAGTTTATTATTTTAATCCTTAGAATGTTCTGATAAATTATTTTCATTGATTTACCTAGTTTCTTTTTTTGACAGTGCAGTTGCTAAAGAAATGTTTTTTAAATCTATTTCTGTGCTGTTATTTTTTGAGGAATATTACTTGTTACTGTTAGAATAATAACAATGTTTAATGCTGTTATTTTTTTGTTATAAATATTTACAAGTTTCATAAGTTTATGGTATTATTTTTCATCTGTTTGCTTTTTTAACTTTATTATTTATTTTTCTTGGAATTTCCTTTATGTCATACTTATATTTATATCCACAAAGAAGTTGTGTATATTTGTTTTGGTTTTGTCCATTAGGAGTTCTACAATGAAATCAATCGCAAAGAGATGTACATACGTTATCTATACAAGTTGTGTAATCTACACCTGGATTGTGAAAATTATATTGAAGCAGCATTTACTTTAAAATTACATGCTGAATTGTTAAACTGGTATGATAAGCCACTGCCTCATATTCTAAAAAATGAAGAATACCCTCACTGTGAGACCCATCGAGAGCTAAAGGAACGACTTTATTGTGATATCATAAACTATTTTGATAAAGGAAAGCTCTGGGAGGCAGGTTTAACACTTTGCAAGGAGTTAGCCCAGCAGTACGAGAATGAAATGTTTGATTACAATCAACTTAGTGATCTTTTAAAGCAAATGGCTACATTCTATGATAATATCATGAAACAGGTTCGGCCTGAGCCAGAATATTTTCGTGTAGCCTACTTTGGACGAGGTTTTCCTGCATTTCTGCAAAACAAAGTTTTTGTGTACCGTGGAAAAGAATATGAACGATTGTCTGACTTCAGCAATCGATTGTTGAATCAGTTCCCAAATGCACAAATAATGAATAAACTGGATTCTCCAGGAGAGGAGATATCAGAATCCTTACTGCAATACTTGCAGATCAACAAAATTGACCCTGTAATGCAGGAACAGGATCGATTTCATGGAAAACTTGTCCATGATCAAATTCTGAAATACTACAAAGTAAATGAGGTGCAGAAATTTACCTACTCTCGACCTGTTCGGAAAGGAGAAAAGGATTCTGATAATGAATTTGCCACTATGTGGCTAAAAAGAACTTACTTAGTAACATCTTACCATTTACCAGGTATTCTTTGCTGGTTTCCGGTTACTAACTCTGAAGATATGGAGATCAGTCCACTGGAGAATGCTATTGAGACCATGGAGACCACCAATCGTCGAATTAGGGATATGATTGTCCAACACCATGCTGACCCAGCTCTCCCTATTAACCCTCTTAGCATGCTGTTAAATGGAGTAGTTGATGCAGCTGTTATGGGTGGAATTATTAACTATGAAAAGGTAAGTTTAGTCATTTGTGTTCTAAAATCAAGTGTTAGTTATAGTTACATGATGTAATATAAATTCACAAACATCCAAATTTATCCCATGGAACACAAGTTTAAAGTTACAGAATTTTCATTTGTATGTGCTACAGATTTATATTGGTTTGTAGGCCTAACTTAGTAATACTATAGTACATATATAACTGTGTCATTATGGGAGAAATATATTATTATGGCTTTGTAATGTAGTTAACATTATGCTGTCAACAACATGCTTTAAAGTTTTTCCCTTTTCCATGGCAAATAGCAACTATCTGTTCTTTCTTTGAAGCTTTGTATTTTGGAAACTCATGAAAGTGCAGATTTTTAACTCCAGATTCCTCTGCATAATGCTGTAATTTTGATCACTATTACATAAACCACTAGAAAGTGTGCCATTTTTACTAGTATTTGCATCATTATCCCCATTTATATAACTGTCAACATTGAAAATACTAAAAATGTATTGTTAGAAATCTAGAATCCATTGCTTTCAGAGGAATTATAGTTTTTGACAAATGGTTTGTAGTTTTTAATTTTCCAGGTTTGAATCCTTCATGAATTTCTGTACTTTTTATTCATAATTATGTTCTGTAATGTGTGAAAGTGCTGCTCTTTGTCCAAAACTACAGTAAGTACTGTCTTTATCAGCTGTAGGTGTGAGGATTGAATTGTCTTTTCTTAGCTGTTTTCATGCTGTATTATTTTGTCTTCAGAAGTTATTCTTTCTTGAGTGCTGAAGGGTTTCATTATGAAGAAGATCATAGTGTTCTCATTAGTTCACTTTATATGCATAAATGCACGAATTTTTACATCAGGGATGAAGAAAATTTCTGGTTATACAGACTAAATTACCTTCATGTTGCTCTTTTAATGTTATTCACTATTTTTTTTCTTAGGCATTTTTCAATGATGAATATTTGGAGAAAAACCCAACCAGAAGAGGCAAAGAAGGAATACAGAAATTGAAAGACTTAATAGCTTGTCAGGTAACCTTTTATATAATATTGTGTAAATTTTACTTAAAGAATAGCATTATAAACACCTTCACATATTTAAGTAACCATATAAGAGTCGAGTCAGCACACCTCAGAGTAAAAAGACCAGTGTTTCTGTTGTTCTTCAGTGTTAGTATATATGTTATATATTTTTTACTTTTGTTTGTAAGCTCTTTAGAAATGTACACAACATGAAAGATATTCAATAACCTGTTCTGTTAGGCTGCATAAACTATGACACTGCCTATCATTGTGTGTGTGCACAATACTGTGATTTTGCATTTTCGATTGCTGTAAACAATCATGACAGGACAAATAATGTATGAAGCTCTATCTTGGTTTAATTTGATAGCAAAAGATTTGTGAAAAAACTTTAAGCTAATGTTGTGCCTTAATTATCCATGAATTTAGCCACTTTTCCAGTAAAGTATTCTCCCTCTGTGTGCAAACTTTTTCAGAAACACATGACACAAGCCTTCATCATTCCTCTGTTGGAATCCAAAATTCTAACACGTCCCTTATGCAAATCATTATGTATTACCTCTCCACCAATAGGAGAGCACTACTATCATGTGATGCATGTTACTCCCTGTACGTGCCACTACCGAACTATCACTTCTCGTTTTGGCAGCTGTCGAGTTCAGATGATCTTTCTTATATTGTTAAGTTACCTTGAAGTGGTTTATTTTGCATTTTTCCTGTTTTATATTTTTCTTAACTTTATTTACTACACTTCACAGCTGTGAAGTTAAGATTTTTATTAAAGCATTACTTCCTCGTGTTTCCAAAGTTACAGTCACCACTTATGGTACTTTGCCAGTGTCTGATGCTGTATTTTCAGCCACAGATGCAGGCAACTCATCTGGGAATATATCGTCACTCATTCACTGGGAGATTGAGCGGTATATGAACCAACCTCTCTCTACTTCTGCCCCACTTCCTCCTGAGCCTTCCAAGCTGGGCCACGCTGATGACGATTTTGATCGTTTGTCCCCCCCCCCCCTTTGGAATTTGCTGTGCCTTCCCGTTTACTACCTGATGATTCAACTCTTCTGTCATTGGTCTTTCCAGACTTCATCTCTCAGATATGTGATGTTTTGTCTCTTATACCTGTTTCCTATGACCCCTGTACCTTCTCTCTTACATGAAACAACCTCCCGACCCTATTTAGTTTTTCCCCCGTCCCCTGATATTAGGTTTCACGCGGACCAAGGGAATTAGTGTGCCTCGTCCCACACAGACTTTGGATCAGTCTGCTCTTGCTTATCATTGGGTGGACTTTCCTATTCTCGACCAATAGTTGTTGGGGTCAGTTCTACCTGTTTGGGGGGCAAACCAAGATTACCCTGTCCAACTTACCCAAATCCAATTTTGTCGCCTTTGTCTCACCCACACGATCCTGTTAAGGTGCCTTTCCTCCCTTCACCTTCTGTTAGAGGCTCTTCACAGGAATCCTGAGTGGTTTTGTGCTGAAATCCTCTCCATCCTTACTTCTACACTGGCTCGCCTGTCATCTTTGGCTCTCATGTTTCAAATGTGGTTTGTTTGTTGTTGGGATCTCTTGGGCCATAACACGGTTTTGGCACAGACTTGTCTCCAGGCTCCTTATCTGGGGGATCTCTGCATGGCACCATTTTTGCGGCATTAAGTGTTTGACTCTGTTCCTGAGTCTTTGGAATCACAGGTGGTCTTGCCTATCAACATTCTACCCTTATTAACTTGATGGCTCGTTTCTTTTAGTCAGGGCTGAGCACGCCACTGGTTCCTCTCCCCCAACCTTCCCCTTCCCAACCTCTACCTGTCACACCCTCCTGTGTGCCACAGTTTGCCAATTTACTTGACAATACACGATCAGCCAACAGCAGTACCAGTGACTACATGGTTGGTTCGGGCTCATTAGGGGCTCATCTTTTGAAATTCGTTCATCGGTGGGGACCTTTTCTCGCCAATGTCTGGATTCACAGAGTGCTCTCGGAGGGATATGTTATCCCCTTTCTCTCCCTTCTCCAGTGTTCCCATTACCTTTCCATCTCCTCTTGATCCTTCGACATTCCAGCATCTGTTAGAGGCGGTTCAGGACCTCATTGCACAGCAGACTATCAAACCAGCTCCACCAGGTTCATGGGGGTTTTACTCCCACCTGCTTGTAGTTCCCAAGAAAACCGGAGACTGGCAGCATGTCATCAATTTATCCCATCTCAATCAGTATGTTCACACTCCTTGCTTTACCATGGAGACATACCTTTCTCTTCAGTGGACATTTCTTCAGGTCTTTGGATGACCAAGATGGACATTTCCAATGCTTGCCTACACATTCCTGTGGCAGAGCATTTGTGTCTATATCTTCAGTTTGTCCATCGGGGGTTGTGTACCAGTTTCATGCCTTACCTTTCACCCTAGCCGCAGCACCATGCATGTCTTGTCATGTGGTCTGCTCCTTTGGTCAGTATATTCATGCCATGGGGTTGTGCTTCCATGTTTATATGGACAACTGGCTTCTTCTTGCTCATTCCAAACGGGAATCAGGCCGTCAAACTTGTCAGCTTCTGGCCAAAGCTGTGCAGGTGGGCTGGTTGATCAAATTGGAGAAGTCTTTCCCACATCTTACCCAAAACCTTATCGAGTCAGGTGTTTTATACAACATCCATCTCAGTCCGGCCCAACCTTCTCCTCTCCAGCTCCATTCTATGGAATGGGCCAATCTGAAGCCCCCATCTGTTCCCTCACTTACAGCTTGTGATGTTCTAGCACTTTTGGGGATGTAGTCCTCCATGACTCCTCTCATACCCCTGTGCAGGGCCCATATGTGTTTTCTTCAATGGGTCCTTCACGATCAATGGAACCTTGCCTCAGATCCCTGGAATATTCCTTTATCCCTTCCCTCATCCCTTGTTGATGATCTCCATTGGTGGTTCAACAGGGCCCAAATGTTGGTGGGGTCCCGCTTCCTCCTCCTTGGCCAGATTTACATCTGTTCATGGATGTATAACTTCAGGGCTGGGGTGCCTGGGTGGATCACCAGGAGGTTTCAGGTCATTAGTCTGTGGAAGAGAGTTCTCTTCCCATCAATGTTCTTAAATTTCTGGCTGTGCATCAGGCTTTGGATCATTTTTTTTCTCTTGCCAGCTGCTGGCTGGTTATGATTCATTCTGACAATTCTACCGTGTTGGGTTATATCAATCACCAAGGTGGCACCAAGTCCAGATCCCTATGTTTTCACACTATGGATCTTTATTGGATCCACACACATCAAATTCGTTTGATAGTGGGTTATGTACTGGATGCTTTCAATCTCATAGCTGATCGTCTTTCCCAACCACGTCACGTTTATCCCATGTAGTTGTCCTTGCATCCTGCCATTTTTCGGCGGCTCTGTCTGCATCTGAGTGTGCCCCATACTGATACCTTTGCCACTGCCCCAATCACAAATTATCTCTTTTTGGTCCCCGGTTCCCCATCCTCCAGTCTTGACTGTCAATGCCTTCAGCGAGGATTGTTCTCATCTGTTCCTTTATGTTTACCCTCCCATCCATTTATTTCTTCGAGTGGTTTCTCTTATCTTTGCCACTCCGTGCACATTCCTTCTGATTGCTCCTTACTGGCCCACTCAACCATGGTTCCCTCCCTTCTGTCCTGACCTGCTCCATCAACCCCAGTCACCAGTCTTCCATCCAGCATCATTCATCCTAAGTCTTCACACATGGCTTTTGTCAGGTCCTTGAAGAAGAGTTCTGGTTTCTCTCCCAGAGTAGCTTCACATTTAGCCTGTTCCATTTTCCCTTCTTCCTTCATTGTCTATCAACGTAAGTGGAGCATTTATCACTCCTAAGCATTGACTTGGGGTTTCTGAGCTTCTAACCCAATGGTTTCCTGTATCTTTGAGTTTCTCGTGTGGCTCTTTGAGAGGGGTATTTTGGGGTTTTGGGCAGTGTTAACCTATACCTTTTATTTTTCCAATTTCCACAGGGTCTTTGCTTTCCCTGTCCTTTCCATGTTGATCTATTCTATCTGGCTCCATTGGCCACCAAGGTGTCTGTCGCTCCCGGACTGGGACATTAACGTGGTCCTTCATGCCTTCACTTTACCTCTATTTGAACCTCTGTCTATGTGTTCCCTGTTTCACCTCTTTTTGAAGGCATAATTCCTTCTCCTTCTGGCCTGCGGGCATCATAAGCTGGATATTTTTGCCATCCACATTACCAGGACTTTGTACCACACCTCCTACCTTATCCTTTATCCGGATCATGTTTTCCTTCCTAAGACCTCTGCAACTTGAGAGGGTCAGTCCTCCTTTTCCCCTATCTGCCCATCCTTTATATCTCATTCCTACCCTGGTCCTGATCCAGATAGACTCCTCTGTCCTGTCCGTGCCTCCAGTTGTCATATTGCTTGCATGGCTTCCTTCCAGGGTCCTCATTCACACCTTTTTATCCTTAGCAACCTTCCTCTTCCTGTGATCTTTCCCCACTTACCCTCACCTATTGGGTTTAATATTTGATCCAGTTGGCCTATTCCTCCTTGTCTCCTTCCCAGGGTGATCTCTTTCCCATTTCCCCATGTCAAATCCATCACCTTGACCTTCTCACTTGCCTCTCGTATTCGTTGGCCATTGGAGGAGATTCTATGGTTGAACATGTGGACGACTCTGCACACTTTCACCTCCACTGCATAAACCGTATCATTGATTCTGATTCATCTGGATATCAGCTGTTGCCTGTGACTATTATACAGACTTTGGTGTGGCTGTGACACAAGATAAGTCCTTACTAATGCTTTCCTTTCTTTCAGGGGCCCCTGCTTCAGCTTCACTTTGGGTCCCACTCTGTGGCAAATGGTACCTGACCAGATATTCTGTCTGTACTCAGAATGGGTTTTACTTAGATGGCTATAACCATTCACAGACATTTTGCTATCAAATACACACTGTAATCCATGTTGATTCTTATACATTTTCCATGGCTATGTATGCTTACCCTTGAGATGGGGTGTTTCACAAGATCACTAGAGTGTAAATTCCTCATGATAATTACGTTATAATATGCCCATCCCGGACCGTACCACCCATAGACAGTGTGGGTAAAGCAGAAGGGGATTGCTGCCCATCCCTGCCATGCTTAGAATGAATAAATCAGTGCTTTTAAAAATAGGGTTTTGTGATCACCCATTGCACTGTCTCGAGTGTTGCAGTCTCCCCATTCCAGTGGAGTATGGGAGTCCTTACCAGTTTCATGCTGCTGGGATGGGTGACCATGGAGGCGACCTGCTGGATGTGTTCCACAAAGATGGCTATAACCATTCAGTTCAAAGTAGGGTAGTGATGTTCTGCTGGTGTAGAGGGAGTTACAAGATCCTCTGGATGAGTAACTAATTCTTGGAGTTGAGACACCCAAATGCAGTTCACCCCTCTTACTGGGTGCCCTTCTCCTACCCTCGCATGGATGTCGGTACCCAGCGGGTAAGGTTTTGGGGCTTGAGTAAACCAATCACGTAAATCCTCACACAGATTTGGGTTGTCCATCTTCTCCTCTTGACTTTTCTTCTGTGTTGTGGGTTGCAGAGGTCTACATGGCCTGTTTCAGCTTTTGTCCTGACTTTTCCCTTGTTGGGTGACAAGGTTTTTTACCAACCGAGGGTCGTTTTGGGTCAGTTTCATGGTTGCAGAGGTTGAATGCTTGTGATGGACTTCCCTCGGATTCCAGATGATGCATTCCCGATTCCCTGGCACTAGGCTACCCTGTGAGTTCCTGGAGTTGAATGTTAGGTTCCCTCTTGACTCTGGGACTTGAGGATGTTGGTAACCAGCAAATGAGATTTTGTATGTAGTTGACTTACCGAGTATGGTCCATCGTGCCCTAGCCACCCTACACCATGGGACACATCCTCACTTCCATCATGGGATTGAGTGATTCTAATTACTGTTTAAGATCACATTGCTAAACTATTCTCTCCCATGCAGATGTGCTCCCTTCATGTTCTGCCATGTCTGGTCCTCCTGATCATGTCGATATTCCTGGCACTCAGACATGGTGCAGTGCCTTTTCTCAGATCATTTGATCTGTTCCTCTCACTTCGGAGGTGTCCTCCGGAAACTTCCAGGGGATACGCCTGTGCTTCCCTCACACTGGTCCATCCTCCATTTCAATGTGAGATTCAAGCTAATCTTGTGAACGGAGGGAGAGTACCTTATCGGAAGTTATAATTTTTCTAAACAAAAATGTATTTCCAATAGGCACTTCCCTCTTCTCGCATTTCCCTCCCATCCTCTCCACAATCTTCCGGTGCTCATGTCTTCTGACAAATTTCAAGTGATAGTTCGGTAGTGGTGAGTAGAGGGAGTCACATGAGCCACGTGATAGTAGTGCTCTCCTATTGGTGGAGAGGTGACACCTGATGATTTCCATGAGAGACATGTTGGAACTTTGGATTCCAACAGAGGGATGATGAAGGCTTGTGACATGCATTTCTGAAAAAGTTCGCATACAGAGGGCAGCACAAAATGAGAAAAGCTAATCTTGTGAAGCGAGGGGAGTACCTGTTGGAAATACATTTCATTTAGGAAAATTATAACTTCAGTTAATGTGATATACATATTTCATTCACTAGTACATCACTCTTTTTTATCCATTTACTTTTTTTAATCCTTCTTCATGTATGCTCATGTTTGGCATATATCATACATTTACTGGAACAATACTTTTTCTCTGTGTAGTCTCAAGTTTGGCACTTATCCACTATTTATCAGTAAATTGCTCTTCCTTCAAATATTTTCAGGTTTGGATATATATATATATATATTACACATGTACATGTATTATTATTCATGTACTCGCAGGCTTGATATATGTCACACATTCATCGGTGCATTATTCTTTGTTCACGTACTCTAAGGTTCACCATATATCACACATTTGTCAATGCATTTTTTATTTCATGTACTCTGAGGTTTGCCATATATCACACATTTATCTATACATCACATGTTATTCATGTACTCTCATACTTGGTAGATATCACACATTTGTAACTACATTACTTCTTCTCTGTGTACCCTCATGTTTGCAATTTATCACCATCGGTGCATTATTCTTTCTTCATGTACTCTGAAGTTTAGCACATATCACACATTTGTCAGTACATTAATCTTTCTTCATGTTCTGTAAGATATGTCATATATCCCACATTTATGTACCCTCATATTTTGCATATATCACACATTTTTCAGTGCCTTTTTCTTTTTAAATGTACTCTAAGGTTTAAGATATTTCATACATTTATATATACATTACTCTTTCTATACAAACTCTCAGATTTGGCATTTACCACACATTTTTGATATATTATTCTATCTTTGTGTACTCTTAGGTTTGGCACATATCTCAGATTTGCATATATCACACACATGTCAATACCCTACTCTTTCGTCATGTAGTCTCAGGTTTACCATATATCTCACATTTACAAGTTTGGCATATTTCATACATTTATGAGTACATTACTCTTGCTTGATGTACTCTCATTGATTTTTCTTCATGTACACTCAAGTATAGCATATGTTATATTTGTCAACACATTACTCTTTCTCTGTATGCTTTCATGTTTGGCATGAATCACATGTTTGTCAGTACTTTGTTCTTTTTCCACATACTCACAAGTTTGGTATATATATTACCGTTTGTCACTACATTATTTTATCTTCATGTACTTCCTTGTTTGTCATATATCACACATTTATGAGTACATTACTCTTGCTCCATATATCCCTTTGATTTTTCTTCATGTACACTCAAGTCTAGGATATATCACACATTTGTCAGAACATTATTCTCCATGTTTTTTTTTTTAATTCAGCATACATCACACTTTGTCAGTACATTGTTCTCTTTCCATGTACTCATAGGTTGGGTATACATTATACATATATGTCACTACATTATTCTTTCTCTGTGTATTATCAGGTTTGGCATACAGTTATTTTACATTACTCTCACATTTGGCATACATGTGATATATGCCAAATGTGAGAGTGATTTAGCCACTTTGCAGTTAATGTGGTACACATACATAATGCATCAGTACATTACTCCTTCTCCATGTACTCACAAGTTTGGCCACTGATTCATCAATTAATGACTTTTTTTTTGTGCCTGCTCTTATATTTTACAAATATAATATCTGCATCAGTACAGATTACTTTTTTTCATGTATCTGCTGTTGATTAGTACATACCACTTATTCATTTCTAAATTACTCAATCTTTGTGTATCCCCCTGTTGTTTGGTACATATTCACCCATTCATCTCTATATTACTCTTTTCTTTTTTTTCATTTAATACACATTTTGTTTTTGTCCATATAACACATTAATCAGAATATTTTCTTCATATTCCAGCTTTTTTGTTTTTTGATTGTTACATTTTTCAGTGTTTTATGTTTTGTCAATTAAGTGTTTAGGCTGAAAATAATTGTGGTTAAAAGATAATACCATATAATTTAAATGATATACTTATTTTTTTTAAGATTCCATTGTTAGAAGCTGGCATAGCACTTCATGGACAAAAAGCCCCAGAAAGCTTACAACCATTTCATGACCATATGGAGGAGTCTTTCAGCAATTTACGGAAACATGTTGAAGAAAAATATGGAAAACGGGTAAGCCTAGTTTGGTGAACTTGAACAGGAGTGTAATACAATCAGTGGAATGTTTTACAAACATTGATATACACAGTTTTTTTTTTTTACATATCTCTAAAGTCTTTACTGTTTTAATGATAATAATTTACTGGTGCATAATTGTCCATACAGAGATGAAAATTATATAAACCACATATATCTATAAGGCTATTTAACTCATTAAGCATGAGATTGGGTCCCTGGGTCTGACATCTTACCCGTTTTGTGCTTGTTATAGTTTTCATGCTATAACTTTTAAATTAGTAAGCGTATATTCATGAAGTTTTGCAGATTATCAGTAAACATTACAATGCTTTCATATATGCAAAATATCTAATTTTTTATTGAGTCTTAAGATTTGTAAAGCAATGTTTTTCTCATGCCTTTTTTTTCTTTTTGCATGTTGCCTATCCAACATGCAAAGTAATTTTCATTTTAAGATTTAAAATATTTTTATGCATCAGAAACTTTTCAAATTTTGCATGCGAAATCTTTATAATGTCCAGATAGTTATCAAATGTTTCTTAAGAAAAAACTTTGTATTTTATCTGTTATTTTCAGTAATTAATCTCTGTATGGGTTCAGTAGATTTGACCAATCTCATAATCAACATAAAAATTAGGAAATGAATATAAGTTATGCCTCTTTCATTCTAGGATGACAACAAATTATAACATAAAAACATAAATGTTTAGACTAAATAGCTCAGATCTCATAACATTATACATTTATATATTTTTATTATATTGACCTTTCAGCCATGCCTGGCTAACAATACAGAAGTTACAATGATGAGACAAACGTGCACTTGTGTTATCGTATCCAATAGTATAAAACTGACCTTTAGTCTTTACAAAGTGACCTGTCTTGGCTGTGTTTTAGTAGACTAGTATTTTGTAAAATGTATATAGATTATTGCTATTTCAAAATAAGTTCTTAAACATATTTTTCCTAAAACATAGATCAGTAAAT